CCATACTGTAAAGGTCACCTCGATCGGTGATGAAACGGTTGCGATCCATTTGCAAGCTGGGCGAGTAGACCAAAAGCCAAGCAGTGCAAATGAACTGCCTATATTCGCAAAGTTTCATTTGCTTGGAGTCAAGTAGGATCGCAAGCCAGTTTTGTGGAATGTGTCATAGTGCCTGATTTCCACAATGATGAATGGATAGCTGAGTTCGTCTCAGATCTGTTGTGATTTATAGTGCCGATATCAAAATAAGCTGGATAGAGTACACTGAGTCAGTGCGATCCTAGAGGTTGTCAGCCTCGGCCAGGTTTAGCAAAAAGGTCATGTACAAAAACCCAGTCAGCTTACTCACGTTGTTTTCAAAACCAAATTGTGACCGGAAAGGCAATGGGTCGAATTTCAACTTTAAAAACCTTTTCCATCAAAACTGGAACGTGATTCTGGGGACGAGCTGAATCAGATGAAGCAATGACCTGCACAGAAATGCTACGGGTGAAATGAAGAACTTCCTTCAGTGCAGGGTTGTTTTCCTGACCAGAACGGACTGAGCGGTTACACGCTATTTGACACGAAAGTAAGTTCCGTTTGCACAGCGGTTCTGAAGCGTAAACCTCCTCAAGCGTCCTCTTGAACTTTCCTGAATGTTCTCTGAATATTAAACAATAACAGCCGAGCACCGCAAAGCAGTCGCATAATTTTCGTAAGGGCTTTCCAACAAGACACTACTCGTATATTCATCAGTAGTGTGCACCGTTACACCACTATCGACAGTCTCGCTTGGCATAGAAGTCGGAAGTCGGAAGAAGGCCCACCAACAAGGAACACGCCTGCTTTATTGCGAGAAGGTGATTTCAAATGCTACAAGGAACCTCGTGTTATTGAAAGCGCACTCTTGACATTGATCCAAACTGTCTGATCGGGGTTAGTGAACACTCATCATCGTCAATCATGCCTCTATGACACGTCTGAACAGTCGTCAGCCTTTGATGAATCGACTGATCGATCGGGAGCTGGCTTTTCTGGCCTAATGGCTTCTGTACTCTGATTTTGGTTCTGTCTGTGTATCTCAGTAGGTTTCTGGTGTTCTGGAACCATTTTCAGGAATCCGACCTCTCTGAGAGTAAGAATTGAAGGATTGGTGTGGAAGACACAGCATGGTGTTGCCACTTTGAACACGTGAGTTTAAACAACCCTGCCCACAGCACAGCTGCTTCTCGCTAAGAATGATGAGAAATGTGTTACACAAAAAAACGACAGTAACAGACTTTGTGTTCAAGGAATCCGAAGAATCACAGCTAGATCATTAAATATGACACAAGTGTCTTTCACATGCACGGCTTGTCAAGTATGCAGTGGGATAACCGTCCATTTGATCTGATATCCGACATGCGTAAGTTAGTTTAGCGTCCCCCCACCCGATGGCTGAGAGCCACTTGAACCTTCCGCACAAACTGAGTATGCTTCAGTACTCAAACGTTCAACTCTGATCGTCAAAGCCTCGTAACCTTCCCAAGATTCGGACTTCCTAAAATATGTCGAAAACAGAGTTGTTGGTCCAATTTTTGGGAGAGGCTTCAGAAATGCCTCCGATGAACTTGATTTGATCGGTACGCCCTCAACCAAGTAGATCGATATGAACCCGACTTTTCATCAGTTGATAATTATCATATTCCACCGGACGATTCACTCTTGTCACTCGTCGTAGGCTCTCGCAGCCAGTTTTTTTTACACGAGAGTCCACTTACTTGCACTTTGCGTCCAGTGATGCATGACGTATAACTTTTAGATTGAACAACCTCCAAGTGAGGGAGTAGACTGTGAAGGTGCAAGGATCCGCGGTGTGGAACAACCGTACAACCATGGTACGGCAGTGAAGCATCGGTGTTGAACACTGATGTCATGCTGTCGATGATGATGATGATGATAGTGTGGAACTTAACTGGTAAGTTCTAGATAGAAGGAAGCTAGTCGTGGGTTCTTGAAAAGCTTTCAGCAACGTTCAGAGCAGTGACAGGTGTATCTGACTCTGAATTTGGTTCCTGTGAACCGAACACATTATTCTATATTATTTTGTTGGTCTTCTGGTCTTTTCGCCATGGAAACCACACTTATCCACTTACTGCCCATGACTTGTTGATGTCGCGTTCTGTTTCTATGTTCCATCATCGTTTGAACACAACTCATCTTTGCTGTCCGGTTGTTCAGTCCCCATAAGCAAACACATCCGCTCCGGTTTTTGTTTGGAGTTCCGATTCTACGAAGAACTAGGCTGCGTTCGTGAACATCATGGATGTAATAAACTTGCGCCACCGGTTTGAGAGTCCATGTAGCTTCTAAGTGGAAAGTGTCATCCATTGGCGAAAAGCCTTTTGAGCTAAACACACCCATTTGCACACCAGTTGCTTTTTCACAGGAGACTCGACTGAAGCTCAGCTGATATTCTTCAGAGGAATGTGCTATGTAGAGCCTGACTCACTTTTCAGTTGTTATGATACCCTAAGTGTCCCCCAGATATTTTCTTGAAAGGTTTTCAGCAACCTTATGAGTAGTATTCCTTCAAGTGGTCTATTATTTCACCACTCCAGATGGTTTTCATCATGGATCTTCGCCATCATACTACTCAAACCTGTTATAAGTAGCTACTGATCTTAATCCGTACCTACACTCATACACGCATGTTCCAATGGCTGTAATTCATCTGCTTCACTGTGCTGATTTATCTCCAAACAAGCACTCTGGTTTTTTTTCATGAAGGAAGCTACTCACAAGGTTGCTGAGAACTCTCCGGCAGCCCACGACCGGTTTCGACCAAACTGATTT